CCTGAGTGGAGAGGACTTGAAACCTCCCTGCAGAGTTTCCTGGGGTCCCAGAGTCGCCAGATTTTCTAATGTGCTGAGGAGGATTGTGGACAAAGCTGAAAGCCAGCAGATGTAGGGAAGCCCTGAGATCAGGAAAAAGTTAATTCTAGGGCCCCTTGTATGTCTGTAGTTAAAGTTAGCACAGGGGGATGGACGAGCTAGCACATGCTGGCAAAGACTGAAGTCACAGAGGCAACTTAGATACTACTGGGGATGGAGAGATTGAGGGAAGCCTGATTTGATGGAGGATAACCTGAATATCAAGATTAAGTCCCTGGAAAGGGTGCTTAAAATAAATATTATGTTAAATCATGGAAAAGTTAAAAAATGTAATACTTTAATAAAAAAGATTTTATTTATTTATTTGAGAGAGAAAGAGATAGAACATGAGTGGGAGAGGGACAAGCAGATTCCTTGCTGAGTGTGGAGCCTGATGCGGGGCTCAGTACCGGGACCCTGAGATCATGACCTGTGCCAAAGTCAGATGGTTAACCGACTGAGCCACCCAGGTGCACCCCCCAATGTAATACTTTTTGCACACTTGGAATGGTGGCTTGAGAGTTGCGTCAAAATTTAGTTACATTAGGTTAATCATGTTACCTAATTTCTCCAAGACACACACAACTTCCCTGTTTGTCAGCAGGGGTCGGGAGGAAAGGTTGGACTAGGTGTATCAGGAGCTTTTCCAGCTCAGCTTGATCAGGATGTGTGTCAGCATCTCTCAGCTGTTTCACTGCCCACTTGTGAATATTTTTTTATATGTTACTTCTTTGCATTCCTCTCCCCAATGTCCAGTGAGATTATCGAGAGTCACCAGGCTAGCCCAGGGTGATAAGAGAAGGGGGACATTCTCAGCCCCAGCAGAGATCATATGAAAATGCAAAAGAAAAAATATATACAATCCTGCCATCATGATAGATGACATATTTTGTCCTTCTGCTCCCCTTTCCAAGTCATGCCTATGGGTACCCCTTTTGTACCAGAGCCTAGAGTCTATGCTGTGTCCAAGGACTTTTAGGAGGCAAGAAGGATGGAGAAGAAAAAGCTGCCCTAGCAACCAGCTTTACAGACCCCATGACTCTAAAAATATCTCTCCAGCTCTGACCCTTCTCTTGAACCTAAGACCTATATGCCTACTCAACATTGGCACTTGGATGATGAACAAACATTGTATTTAACATGTTCATTTAAGATGTTCAAAACTTGCTTTCCTAGGAGTCATAGTGATTTCTAAAAATGTACATCTGATCTTATAATTTATTCTGTGGATTAAAACTCTCTAATGTCTTTCCTTTCTTTTTTGAGTGAAATCCAAACCCCCATCATGGCCAACAGCCCTGTGTGATTGTCTCCTGCCCATCTCCTCAGCATTGCTCCATGTCCCACTACTCTCCAATGCCAGCCCCACTGGCCTGCTCCCCCTTCAGGGGGAGGTTCCAAATTCCTTTCATAGCTTAGGTCTTGGTGCAATGGGTTCTGATAACAGGAGTTTATTTCCCCAGGCTCTGGCAACTTTCAGATAGCAGCTCAAATATTCCCTTTTCAGAAAGGCTTTCAATACTGTTCTTTCTGTCTTTCTTTTAAGATTTTACCTATTTATTTGCGTGAGAGAGAGCTAGTAAGAGAAAGAGCATGAGTGGGGTGCGGGGCAGAGGGAGAAGCAGACTCCCCACTGAGCAGGGAGCCCAATCCCAGGGGCTCAATCCCAGGACCCCTAGGATCATAACCTGAGCTGAGGGCAGAAGCTTAACCGACTGAGCCACCCAGGCGCACCTCTACTATTCTTTCTAGATAGCTACCACTTAATTCCTGATTCCGTGGAGCTGTCATTGCAATCTGCAGTATTTGTGCACCCCTTTATTTTCTTCAGGACACGTATCACATTCTTCTTCCTTCCTTCCTAACTTTTCCCTTCTTCCCTTCCTCCCTGACATCTTCCCCCCATTTGTCCTTCCCTCTTTTCCTTCTTTGTAACTGTCCTCATTCGACTGTAAACTCCACAAAGGTAGGGACCATCCCTACCAGTGTTCACCAGTGTTTCCTCTGTGTTGAAACAGTGCCTGCTACAGAGTATAAACTCAGTAATGTTTGTGAGATAAATGAAGGCATTATCTTCTTTGCAATGAGGCATTATTTGTGTGGAAGCTCTGGGCTTGCTCAGGACATGAGCTTTCTCTGAAAGGAAGAGGCATCTTTATTTATGTTAAAGCTGGAACTCTTCTTACTGCTTCCTTTTCCCTCTAGTGTCAAGGTATGAGACACTGGGATAGTCACTGTCACCTTATCAAGGTAGGACTTGGATTGAGGAACTATCTGAAATTGTTTTTTTAATGTATTTTTAAAATTGAACTATAATGGATACCTGAAATTTTCTTTTCTTTTTTTTTTTTAAGGTTTTATTTATTTATTCATGAGAGAGAGAGAGAGAGACAGAGACAGAGACACAGGCAGAAGGAGAAGCAGGCTCCATGCAGGGAACCCGACTTGGGACTGGATTCCGGGTCTCCAGGATCACACCCGGGCCGAAGGCGGAGCTAAACCATTGAGCCACCAGGGCTGCCCGGATATCCGAAATTTTTGAGCAAATGTTTGGCAAAGACCATTCTGAGGTCTGTGTAGTATATGGATTGGAGACTCTAGAGTGAGAATCTTGAGAAGGCTATTTGTGTGACCTAGGTACATGCTGATTGGGGTCTGAGCAACGTGAAGATGGACAGGAGGGAGAAGTCATGGGACTTGGTACCCAGGGTGTCTAGGACACAAAATATGACGTGGCAAGTTTTTGCTGTCCTTGATGAACCCAGAGAGTGTCTCTAAATTTTTCTCCCTAGGCACTTTACTGGCTTCATCCTTCTCCTGGCCCTGCTTCTGGGGAGGAGCGTGAGCTGTGGGGCAGGGAGGCCAGGGCATCCCAGAGCTCCCTGCATGAGAGGCTGGGGATGGGGATATTGAAGTGGAAGCTGCTCTACTGTGAGTAGAAATTGTTGAAGAGGAGATTCATGTCTGAGAGGTAATGTAGTTTGGGGTTCAGCCCCTCCAACTCTATGACTACAAAGATTCAAGGCCACAGTGAAACAAATGCAGTAGGATGCCTGTTTCCCCTAGGTATATTGATCTTTCTACAGAGAGCCTTTTTCCAGAAGTTGGCCTACACTTCCTCCCCCAGATCTTTACCAGGGCCATTTTTTTTCTTTTTTCTTTTTTTTTTTAATTGGAGTTCAATTTGCCAACATATAGCATAACACCCAGTGCTCATCCCGCCAAGTGCCCCCCCCAGTGCCCATCACCCAGTCACCCCAACCCCCCTTCCCCTACTCCTTGTTCATTTCCCAGAGTTAGGTGTCTCTCATGTTTTGTCACCTTCACTGATATTTTCACTCATTTTCTCTCCTTTCCCTTTATTCCCTTTCACTAATTTTTATATTCTCCAAATGAATGAGACCATATAATGTTTGTCCTTTTCCGATTGACTTACTTCACTCAGCATAATACCCTCCAGGTCCCTCCATGTTGAAGCAAATAGTGGGTATTTGTCGTTTCTAATGGCTGAGTAATATTCCATTGTATACATAGACCACAGCTTCTTTATCCATTCATCTTTCGATGGACACCGAGGCTCCCAGGGCTGTTTTGGGACTAAGGACTAACCCTAGATTCACTCCACGACTGGAAAAGTGCAGGTGTCCTTCCTTTCTGTTCCCTATAGAGGTACAGAGTGGGATTTAGTGTAGAATGCAGGACTGAAAGATTGGGAAGCAGTATAATAATGATGAGTTAAAGTCTCCCCATCTGCCCATAGACAGTAGGCAGTATAGCTCCCTGGAAACCACCGAGTAAAGCTGGGTTTGAGTCTGAATTTTTTTGGTTCCATAATGTGTTATCTGAGTCATACTGAGTAGGTGTCTTCAGATTCCTCACCTGCAAATTGGGGAATGGTGCACATCTTGTGGGACTAGTATAAATAGGACTGTATGTGAAGTGCTTGACCTGGGGTGACTATGCTCTCCTCTTAATGTGGATTCATAAATGTCATAATAGGAAGGGAACTTGGGGGCTCTTTAGGTATTGTCTTTCCATTTATTTTTCCTTTGGATCTTAAGTACATAGAATTATACCTATCATAATTCTAACTTCATGACACACTCACCATTGATCCATGCATGACCCTCTTTTATTAATCTACTTACCCATCTATCCATCCATTTACTGTCTCTTCCTCCATCCCTTCCTTCCAATAATCAGTCCATCTACCTATCTACTGACATATCTATTTATCAACTTACACTGTTATTCTATTTTTAAATTTATAATGATATACACATTCATGAAGCTACCACTCAGAATGGAAGCTAGAATCGTGATATTAACTTCCAACTACCTATACATACCCACCCTTTTCATCCTTTTCCCTCCCCCTACCTCAGGCTACCATTTAAAATCTTGAGTTCAGGGATGCCTGGGTGGGTCAGTGGTTTAGTGTCTGCCTTCGGCCCAGGGCATGATCCTGGAGTCCTGGGATCAAGTCCCACATTGGTCTCCCTGCATGGATCCTGCTTCTCCCTCTGCCAGTGTCTCTGCCATTCTCTCCCTCTCTCTCTCTCTATCTCTTTCTCTGTCTTTCATGAGTAAATAAATAAAATCTTTATAAAAATCTTGAGTTCATCTATTTTGAAAAAATATGGGTTTATAATATTTATATGTATCCCTAAAAACCATTTGTTAGCCGTTTTTAGCTTTAGAAACATAGTATCATGCTGTATGAAATCTTTTAGGTCTTATTCACTCCTAATATTGTTTTTGCTAAGATTTATCCCCATTATTGTATGCAGCTATAGTTTATCCACTTGTATAGCAGGTTATGGAGTATGTGAATGTTCAAGTTCAAATTTTCCAAACTGTTTTCCAAAAGCAGCTGTGCCACTTGACATACCCATCAGCAACATGAGAAAGAGTCAATGGCTTCTTTATTTTTTCTATGTAGGGACCAAGTGGTGTCTCAGGGTGGTTTTGCTTTGGTTTTTCCTGATTACTAATGAGATTGGACATCTCTTTATATGTTTATTGGCCATAGATGTTTCTTATAACATTTTAATGATGGAGCTGTAAAGGTCTCATGCACAACAGGCTTTCCTTGAGGAGTCTGGGAGGGGCCTTCAGAATTGCAGGTTTGTGTGCCTCCCTGGGTAGGAGCTTAATTTGCCTCTTCTGGGTTTCTTGCTCAGGGTCATGGACTTCATGCCCAGAATCCCCAGAGAAACTGCTGTCCATAGGATGTGAAAGACTACCTCTCATCCCTTCCCAGTCCAGGCTCTCATCCTTTCTGTGGGCTGCAGGAGACAGGGAGGGACAGCCGGTGCTAGACAGGTCTCAGGAGGCTGGTGGGACAGGAGAAGCTTTGGTAGTGGCTGCAGGCTTCATGGCAAGTGCTGTTCCTGGATCAGTTCTTCTAAATAAAACAGGAGGGACTGAGGCTCCTGTGTCACTGTGGAGGGCCTTGTGGTACCTGTGACCTGCAGGGGAAGCGGGGAGCTGGGGCAAAGCCCTTGTTCTCAGGCTTCTCATCATAGATCACCTCAAGAGTGTGGTTTCCATATTAAGTATCCTTCCTGGGGTGCTACCCCTGCCCAGAACAGGGAAGCCTGCATCTTTGTGCATCTTCAGCCTGGAACTGTGAGGGGCAGAGGGGAAGATTGAAAGGATTGGGGCACAGTTCTTAGAGACACTCTGGATTCCACATACCTTCAAGGTCGGTATGAAATGGCTTTTTCTCACAGTGCCCCCTGTTGGCCTGGAGTATCCCCGACCCTGGAAACCCAACCTCTCTCTGAGGTCCCCCTTACCTGGAAGGGAATCTCCTCTTGAGGACACAGATGGCGCAAAGTGCAGTGAAGGAAAACAACTTCCAGCCAAGCAGGATGAGGGTCCCAGAGGGGGCGCTGAATGCTCTGGCTTCTGGAAAGATATGGGGATGAACCTGGCTTCCGGCTCTCACCTCTCAACCCTTAGGCAGGCCTAGCCTCTCCTCAGACTCCAGTCTCAAGACTCAGCCGGAGAAGGAATCCCCTCATCTCTCTAAGCCTCATTTCATAATCTTTAAAATGGGGATGATAACACGTACCCCAGGATGTCTCGGTATCAAATGAGAGCACCCTAATAGGTGCTTGGTAATTGTTGAATCCCAATGGCTTTGGACAGGGTGGGTGAAAATGGGGGAAGATAGTTCAGATGAATTTAGCTATTCACTGGAAGAACTGGTGCCAGAAGTGTGCAGTCAAGATCCAGCTGGGTGATGAAAGCAGGCACCAACCTCTGGGACCAAACAGCACCCTCAGCTGAGGTTGCTCTAATTGCTGTCCCATTTATTAAAGAAGATTGTTATTTATTTATTCATGAGAGACATGCAAAGAGAGTCAGAGACACAGGCAAAGGGAAAAGCAGGCTCCATGCAGGAAGCCCGACATGGGACTTGATCCTGGGTCTCCAGGATCACACCCTGGGCTGGAGGCAGCGCTAAACCACTGAGCCACCTGGGCTGCCCTGTCCCATTTTATAGATGAAGGAACTGAGTTACAGGAAGGTGAAGTGACTTCCTCAAAGTCACGCATGACAGACATGGCAGAGCCATCATATGAACCTGGCCTGTTGGTTTCCAGGTCTGGACCTTTCACTGCTTGGTTATTCCCCCCACTACTCACCCCAACATGCTGGCTCACCTCTGAACTCACTCAGTTGCATGCTGGCCTGGACCGGTGGCTGGGCCTCTTGCCACACTTGGCAGGTGAACTGTGCTTTGTCCTCAGAGGTGTAGACCAGAACATGACTGTCTTGGTTGAATGTGCCATCTGGGTTCTTGGTGAGCACGGAAGCCTCACAGGCCTTAAGGCCTCTGTTCATCTCTAGCCAGGTGCTTTGTATGACTTCAGGGTAGAACCTTTGGATGTGGCAAGTGAGTATGGACAGCTGAAGGCTTGGAACCTGATGTGCTGATATAGTCACTGTGGGTATAACTGAAACAACAGCCCTTCCTTTGTTCCTTCCTTCCCTCAAGCAAAAGATGCTCAAGGAGCATCCTTAGCTTTCCAACCCTGGTTCTTGGGATACAGCAGCGAGCAAGACTATCCCTGCCTCACAGAGCTCCTGCTCTTCTGTGTAGGACATAGAAGGAGAAAAGCAGGGACATGATCCTCATACAGGTTCTGAGAACCTACACAGGATCACCTGACCTGGTCTGGAGATGGGGCATATTAGGGAAGAGTTTCTGAAAGAAGTGACCTTTCAGCAGAAATAAGAGAGATGAATAGGAGTTAACTGCATGTGGCAGATTGTGTTTTCCAAAAATGGCCACAGCAAGTCCCCACATTTCTTCCAGAACCTTGCCATTCCCCATTGGAAAGGGAGTCTACTTCTGCCCTGGAACCTGGGTGGGACTTTGTGACTGCCTGATGAAGAGTATAGCAGAGCTGACACCGTAATTTCCAAAGGTCGGTTATCAAAGTTGGTGTGACTTCCACTTGGGACTCTTGGGACATTCACTTTTGGAGCTACAAGGATGCTCAAACTAACCCACATGGAAAGATGATCAGGAGAGGCCAATGTCAAAAAGAACAGAGCCCCAAGCCAATAGCCAGCACCAATGGTCAGGCATGTTAGCGAAGCAGTTTTGAGATGATCTCAGCCCTGGAATCATTGAGGTGAGGTCCCAGACATCATGAAGCAGAGATAAGCCATCTCTGCCAGGCCCTCTCCAAATTCTTGCCCTACAGAATATGTGAGCATAATAATTTGGGAGATTTGGAGTAAGTTTAGAGCATTGGAATATGTTTGGGAATAATTTGTTATGCAGTCCTGTTAACTGGAACATTAGGCAAAGGGACTGGTGGAGGGCCAGAGGAAGGAAGGCTCTGGGAGAGGCCACATGTAGGGAAGTGCCTCTCAGGTAGAGGGAAGGGCATGGGCAGAGGTCCTGAGGTGAAGCCTAGCGTGTCCAAGGGCAGAAAGATGATCAGAATGAGTGAGGGTGAGCATGAGCGAGATGAAGCCAAATTCATAGCCACTGGCCATGAAGACTATTTGCACTTACTGGTTCTACACACTTGCTCCTGGGAGCACATAACAACATCCTAAGGAGCCCATACATTTTTAGTTTAAGACAATTAATTTCCAGCTCCTGAGCCCTCACATGACTCTTTCCTGAAATTGATCTGCCTGAGAATGCCTACTCCTGCCTCTTGCTCCTGCTCCTCAGTCCTTCTCCCAATGTTGCAGAGGGAAGACCTTCCTGCCACACATCCCAAATCTACCTCTGGTGCAGTGACCTTGGGTGACACTCTGGGACACAAAATAAAAGGACAGTTCAAAATCTTGCTGGCTAGAATGCCTACTTTAATCAAAGCATCATAACCTCCCCCATCTTGCTCACTGAGCTGCATCTCCGATAACATTTTAGTGGTTATTTTGATGATTGTTTGTCAAAATTTGTCAGATTTGTTTTGATCGATTGTGCGATTCAATCCAAAAGAATTTTTTTAACACTTAGAGCCTATGGTCATAAGAAACAATTTTAAAAATTCAATTTATATATATATTGAATTTTCTATATAACAAGTTATATATACAATTTATTATATAGAATATTCAATACATATATATTTGTGGTAGTTCTATGTTTTCTCATAGTTCTCTATGATATGTATGATGATGTGGTCAATAAGGACTTTCAAATATAGAATATATTTACAGTAGGATAAAGTTCTCCCCAGGAATTAGAATGGAAATACAAATTTAGGAAGTAAAAAGAAAATTATAAAATTTCTGATTATTCAAGAAGAGCTTGTTTATGTCTATTGTAATGGATGATGGTGGAAATCAAAGCAATATGACTTTACTTTTCCATTGAACATTTCAGAGAGATGTAACATTTGAAATATCCCAGGGGAGGGGGATCCCTGGGTGGTTCAGTGGTTTAGTGCCTGCCTTCAGCCCAGGGCGTGACCCTGGAGTCCCGGGATTGAGTCCCACATCGGGCTCCCGGTATGGAGCCTGCTTCTCCCTTTGCCTGTATCTCTGCCTCTCTCTCTCTCTATCTATCATGAATAAATAAAATCCTTTTTTTTTAAAAAAAAATAAATCTCCCAGGGGTTCTGGCCCTTGCAACGATTTAAGTCTGTGATGAACAATTTATTTTATTTTATTTTCTAAGATTTTATTCATTTAAGAGAGAGAGAGAGAGGGAAAGAGAGAGAGAGAGAAAGAGAAAACATGGGCGGGGGGGAGGGAGAAGCAGGCTCCCCAACTGAGCAGGGAACCAATGTGAGACTCCATCCCAGGACCCTGGGATTATAACTTGAGCCAAAGGCAGATGCTTAACTGAGTGAACCACCCAGGCATCTTGCGATGAACTATTTTAGATGTTACCTTAAAATATATAAGGAACTACATAGTTCTTCACAATTATCTCGGGGTATATGAAAAAAATGTTTAAAGATTTTTGTTGAACATGCTGATAAGGATTTTATTTTGTTTTATTTTTGTAAGAGCAGTGGTGAGCCAGCAAAGGGTTTTAAGCAAAGAAGGGGCAAGACCTGCCTCCTTTATAAAATGTGTTTGACTGCTGGGAACTTGGGGGCTGCACTGTCAAGGGTAATGGTAGATATGAGAGAAGGGGCTATGGTGACCAGGTAAGGGATGATGTTGACTTGAACTTGGGGATGAATCTGGGCAGTGGCAGTAAAATGGATGAGGTCAGAGAGATGTGAGAAGTCTATTTGGTAGAACTTGTGATAGATTTGGTAAAACAGGTCTCTGGCTTAGATGGTTGGGTTGATGGGGTGTCTCTTCATTGACATAGGGAAGGACAGGGAACCAGGGGTTTGGAGAGAGTGCAGACAGCAGCACAATGCCCATCTTGTACTGACCATGATGAAAGCACCTTTCTTGGGGAAGGGGGACCCTGCCTTGCTCTGGTATCTCTGTGTTGTGTGGGAGGTCTGACATGGTCATCCAAGAGGCGTATTACTGAGTTCAAATTCCATCTCATGAACTTAAAAGCCACGTGACCTTGGACAAGTCATTTTACTTCCCTGCAACTTGATTTCATCATCTGCGTGAAGCAGGGACACCTAGCTTCTTTGGGATGCTCTAGGTGGAGGCTAGAATTCCATTTCCAGGCTGGAACTCTCTGGTATCTTTATTTATTTATTTATTTATTTATTTATTTATTTATTTATTTATTCTTTGGTATCTTTTGGCTATGTAAGGGCAAACTACTACTTAGGGAGGGAGGCATTTCTGAAATGAGGAGCTAAACTCTTTACCTTGGTACTAAACATGGTCTCCAGTGAGGAGGAGGGTTGCTGTGGAGACCGTGATGCTGTTAATGGGTTTTCTCTTTGCTTTGCTCTGGCTGGAGTAGACAGAGAAGGAGCACTGGGGCTCCAGAGCCCTGAAAGGGATGTGCCCATCTACAGGAGGTGAGTGGGGTCTCTGCACTCTGAGGTTGCTGTGGGGTGGTGACTGAGGAGAGCGCAGATCCCTTGCAGACACCCTTGTGAAGGCCAGGGAGGGTGATTTCCTTCCTGCGTTGTCCTCTCCCCTGATGTCAGGGTGGGTTTCAAATCCAACGACTGGCAGCAAAGCGATGGTGGTGTGGTGGTTTACACCATAGTGTTAGGAATTCGCAGGGACAATGCAATAGGGGGAAACTTCCTTGCTGTGGCTTGAAGCGCTGTGTGTCTTGTCTCTGCTTCTCTCTCCAGCCTCTTCCTTCTCCACACACCCTGGTTCCCTAAGCTCTGATCACATGGATCTCTTCCTCCACTCTGCTCTGGCATGTCTCGCTTCCAGCCCACATTACAAGGCCTTTACACACCCTGTTTTCTCTGCCTGGAACATTCCATCTTTTCCTTGGAGGACTCCCTTTCATCTTTTTGCCGTGGCTCCTCCAAAAAGGCATTTCCTTAGTAAACTACACTTTTCCTGTTTTCATTTATCTTAATACTCAGTTCTTTTCTCTCATAGCACATATTATAAGTTAGAACTATATGGGGCACCTGGGTGGTTCAGTTGGTTAAGCATCCAACTCTTGATTTTGGCTCAGGTCATGATCTCAGGGTTGTGAGATCGAGCCCCTCATCGGACTCTGGGCTTGGCAGAGAGTCTGCTTGGTATTTTCTCTCTCCTACTCCCTCTGCTTCTCCTCTCTCTAATAAGTAAATCTTAGAAAAAAGTTAGAACTGTATAGTTTTTGCATCTTGTTGATGGGGCTTATGTGACTGTGAACTTGGTAGAGCAGAATTAGGTCTGTTCTGTTTACCATGAATCCTCAGCACCTAGAATAATGCTGCCACATAGCAGATGCTCAGTAAACACTTGTTGAATGAATGAATGAACTTCCACCTCCCAAATATAAGAGAGCAAAGGGAGCTCTGAAAGAGAAGTACCTAACCATGGCATCTTGTAAGAAGAGGATGGTCCTATAAGATAGGGAACCTCATACCTATCTTACAAGAGGTTTGATGAAGAATAAATGGGAGGAGGCAGGTGAAGTGCTCCAAACGGAACCTGTAGTGGTCAGCAAGGGTTGGCCATTTGGGTGGGTGGGGGGATCCTTACCTTGGAGGAATTTAGAGATGTTCACGTGCCTACTGAGGGGGCTCTGCAATGTACTGTGAGACACTTGGCAGGTGAGCTGGGAGTGGAGTGAGGACAAGTCAAGGGTCACCATGGCTATGCTGATGAGAGTGTAGGACGCAGCATCTCCAAGCAGGAAGACCAAGGTCTGAAAGGCGGGAAGCTCCATGCTATTTTCAAACCATTTCAGGTGTATGTTTTCGGGAAAGAAGCCAGTTGACGTGCAGGTGAAATTCACTATCTGGCCTGTGCTGGTCCTGTTGGAGGGGCCAGAAACCTCTGGAAAAGAGGGCTTAGCTTTGATTGAGGCAAAGTTGAGAGAGAAGAGAGAGAAATAAAGATGGCAGGTTACTCTTTAGTTCAATACCCGCCCTTAGGGTTCACCCAGCTCCACTCACCCCAAACTCTCACCTCCAGTCTTCTCCTCTGCGTAATTTTTATTATGACACTTCTTACCATTAACAGTTTGCCAACTGGCCTCACTGACTGCTTCTCAACCCTGCTGTCTGCACTCAACATCAGACCATGGCAATAGTGTTAAAATGCAAATCAGAAATTGTCATTCCCCAACTTCCTTCCCTCCCCTCCTTCTCAAAGTACATTGTTTAAAAAGTCATATAAGGTATAGAATTAAAAACATCAGATCCCTTGCCTCCTCTCCTAGGAAAAAAATGTACAGACCAACCACTTTTAAGTATTTTAGCTGATTCTTTGGTTTCTTTCTTTCTTTCTTTCTTTTTCTTTTTCCCTTTTATTGAGAGAGAGAGAGAGAGAGAGAGAGAGAGAATATGAGTGTGAGCAGGGAGGGGCAAGAGGGAGAAGGAGAGAGAGAATCTCAAGCAGGCTCCACACTTACCATGGAGCCTGACACAGTGTTCAGTCCCATGAACCTCAGATCATGACCCAAGCTGGAATGAAGAGTCAGATGCTTAACCAACTAAGCCATCCAGGTGCCCCCTCTCTGTGTTTCTAAATAAGATGCTTATACCATTATTTGTCTTTTTTTTCAGTTTTATATATTATGAATAGACCTACTACTATGGAAGATGATGGTTTAACTCTCATATATCTCCCTCCACCAAACAGTCACACTTCCTTCCCTTACATCTTCCTATAATAGACACATCAAAATCTTTTGTCTTATCAGTATTCAGCATTTATATTTTATGACCAAAGAAGTATTGTTCACAACTGGGCCATGTAATACATCATTATTACATTTCCTTTCTTGCACAACTTCCCCCCAAACCCAGTTTTTATATCTTTCTTTTTTTAATAGTTTTTATTTATTGAAGTCATCTCTACATCCAATATGGGGCTTGAACTCATGACCCTGAGATCAAGAGTCGCATGCTCTTCTGACTGAGCCATCCAGGTGCCCCTAATTGTCCTATACTTTTTATTTGCTTAGTTTTAATGAATCTATGACAAATTCATCCCTAAACTTTCTGCCAGATAAGTATAAGTCCTCCCAGTATGTTTGATATTGCTAAGTAGTGTAGTGAACTTCCGTTTAGGGTACATGAATACCTGAGAGTGTACAAGGACTTTTCAGAGATTATACAGGCTTGGGTTTTAAAAAAAAACCCTTTATTAAAACACAAAGTATAAGGGCTGACTGAGTGGCTCAGTTGGGTAAGCCTCTGATCCTTGATTTTGGCCCAGGTCACGATCTCAGGGTCATGAGATGAGTCAGGCTCCGTGCTGGGCATAGAGCCATCTTAAGATCTTTAGATTCTCTCTCTCCCTCTGCCCCTTCTGCTTGCCACTCATGCTCTCTCTCTCTCTCTCTAAAAAAAAAAAGGAGTTATTTTTTAAACATAATCAAAATCCATTATCATACTTAAAATTTTATAGTAATTCTCTTATTATTATCTAATACTTTCCAGCATTCAAATTTTCCTGCTTTTATCACAAATATCATTTTATGATTGATTTGTTTGAATCAGGACGTAAACAAGATCACATGTTACATTTTGTTGCTATGTCTTTTTTTTTTTTAAAGTAGGCTCCATGTCCAATGTGGGGCTTAACTCAGGACCCTGAGATCAAGAGTCGCATGCTCTACTGACTGAGCCAGCCAGGAGCTCCTCCTCTTATTTTTCTTAATATTTATTTGTTGAAAAACCCAAGCCTGCAGGAAAAACCTGCAGAATTTTCCACATTCTGGCATATATTTCTGTGGTATCATATTTTTAAAAAAAGATTTTATTTATTTGACAGAGAGACAGTGTGAGAGAGCACAAGCAGGGGGAGTGGCAGATGCAGAGGGAGAAGCAAACTCTCAGTTGAGCAGGGAGCCTGATGTAGGTAGGGCTCAATCCCAGGACCCTGGGACCATGACCTGAGCCAAAGGCAGATGCTTAACTGACTGAGCCACCCAAGAGCCCCTTCAGTTGTATCATTTGAAACAATCCTCTCTCTCCCATATTTTGCCTGCAGTTGGATCTAAAGGGGCTAGTTGGTTAGATCCCGGTTCACAATTTTGGCAAGAACAACTTGTAGGTGGTTAATTAAGAGGTATGTAATATCTGGCTGTATCTTTTATTTTTATTTTATTTTTTAAAAGATTTTATTCATTTATTCATGAGAAACACAGAGAGAGGCAGAGACATAGGCAGAAGGAGAAGCAGGCTCCCCATGAGAAGCCCAATGTGGGACTCGATCCCAGGACCCAGGGATCACGACCTGAGCCAAAGGCAGACACTCAGCCACTGAGCCACCCAGGGGCCCCGCTGCCTCTTTTTATAGTGTGCAGATTGATTAGTGGCTTTGGGTGTTGTCAGATTGATCTGTCTGTGATGAAATTCTCTACCAGCCTTTAGCCTAATGTCTTTAACAAATGTAGGTAATTATTGTCTTGATCCATCATTCCACCAGGAGTTACGCACTGGTGGCTGACTATTGCTACCATTCCTTCTGTTGGTATCAGTTGAAATTATTTTTTTCATTCAACTATTTTTGGTTATTCTGACATATAGTCCATATAGGAAAGGCAAGGAAAATGCCTTTGCTTACTGTCTTTTGGATTTTGGAAAAATGAGTTGGTGCCTTAGTAACCCCCAAAGGTGAGTAATGAAGTTTCTTTTATTTTTGTATCATTATAAAATCATAATTTTTAAACATTTTTGATGGATGTCAATCTACTGTGATTTTCATTCTTTTTAATGCTCAAATCATCTCATCTTTGCCAATGGGAGCTTCCTTTAAGTTAGTTCCTGAGTCTTTTTAAATAATTTCAGTAGACATTGATAGTTTACTTGCTTTTCACACAACAAAATACTCCATGCTCATTTTGCACATTTTCTGTCCAAGATCTGGAATCAGTCATTGCCCTATATAGCCCTGGGTGTTTTTTGTGAAAGTGCTAGAGACCATAATCTATGTACTAGTGATGCTCATTACTACTAGGTTGTCACTGCTTCCAGGTCCTTTTGGAGGACAGGGCTATGAAGTAAGTATTTTTTAAGGAGGGAAACAATTAAACAGGTTAATACTGATAGTTATAATCCCATTTTAAGAATGCAATTTTTAAGCCTAACTTCTCTATTTCTGCCTGGCATCTGTCTCTATCCTGAAAATTCCAGTTCCTAAGGACTTCAACACAGTTATTTATTTGCTTTATCCTTCAACACATATATAATACTTATAAATACCAACATCAGATATTATTACCAAATTATTGAATAGAGTTTTGGATTTCCTCTTGGTTCTCTTTGTTCTTAGGATATGTTTCATTGGAGATATAGATACATATTGTATGTAATACACACTCTCCAAGGTATGCCCCAATTCCTGGAGCTTGACCACCTCAGTGCATTCAAGACTACTTCCACATGCCTGTCTATGCATGTTTCCTCCTGAAAACTTTTTCAGAAGATTGATTATATGGAAGGTTGTCCGTGCATATGAAGCATGGGGCATCTAACATCCACTGAGAACAGCTCTCAATCAATGCCTGAGAGGGAATTGGTATATAATCAGTCCAAACACCTTTCCTTTCAAGAGGGATACATCTGAGACATGTTCTGTATCATTTCCCATAGGTTTTCATCTGGTTAAGCTTCATTTATCCACAGTAGTGGTAAGCTTGATGACACAGCCTTCACTAACTGATTTTACCGCTCCCTTACTGGGGTTCCTTGCACTCATATATTTGTCTAAGGATCTGCTTGGTGAGTCCAAGCTAAAACCCTATGTTTGTTTTTAATGAGAGACACACACAGAGAGGCAGAGACATAGGCAGAGGGAGAAGCAGCCTCCCTGTGGGGAGCCCAATGTGGGGCTCAATCCCAGGACCTGGGAATCACAACCTGAGCCAAAGGCAGACACTCAACTACTGAGCCACCTAGATGCCCCTAAAGCCCTATGTTTTAAAGTCTCTTGAAATAACTTCTCTTTATCTGGTTAAGCCATCAATATAGAATTAGATTAATTAGTTAAATTTTAGATTTAGTAATCTAGATATTCGGAAAATTTAAAATTTTATTAATTATTTAAAATGCGCAGTTTATAAAATCAAAACCTCAAAGTACAGTCAGAGAAGTCTAACTTTCATTCCTGTCCCTTCTACCCTACTGCCTTCCTCCCCTATAGGTAAATGTTTAAAAGTACATTTTGATTTTTCCTCTTTTAAAAGAATACGATCAAATATGGATATGCTTGTATTTCCCACTCTTCTTAACATAAAAGATAGTGTGCTCCACACACTATTCTTCACATTACTTTTCCTGTCTAATGATATCCTGTGGGTCATGCTGAAGCAAAGTGCTGACTTCTTCTCAGGGCTTTTTAAAGTTGTAGTACTGCATTGTGTGACTCTACCATAATTTATTTAGCAGGTTGTCTTTTATTCTTATACATAGTGTTGTAACCAAGAGCCTAACCATAAAACATTATACTTATGTTAGTATATTTTTGGGATACATTTCTAGAAGTGGGATGGTTAGGTCACAGGGTAATGTATAAGAATGTAATAAGTATATCTAATATGTAGTTTTGCTGAATATTGCCAAATCCACCTCCTTATGACTTACATAATTTTGAATTTCTACCTACAATATAAGGAAGTATCAGTTTCCCCACAGCTCCTCCAACAGAGTTTATTGTCACAATTTTGAATTTTGGGCCAACCAGATAGGTGAAAAGTTGTGTCCCAATGTAGTTTTAAATTGCATATCCTTTCATATGAGAGTGATTGAACATACTCATATATTTAGGAGATGTTTCTATTTCACTTTCT